CGTGATATATTCGCAATGACGCGTAGCAAAAAATATATATACATAAAAGGTACTACATAAAACACAATATAGAGATGAGATAGAGAAAGCTATATACTCACGGCTCATTTTCGCGACCAGGCCTGGGGCCTACGCGCGTCTGTTTGCGCTTGGGGATTGGGGCGCCAGAGCCAATTCGACAGTCTACCACGCCATCCCTCGCAGCTCTTAAGCATTTTTCGGAGACAGCGCACGTACACTTGAGAGGGTCAAGGGCAGGTCTCTTTCTCTTTGCAGCTAGCCTTTCTTCCGGTTGCTGTAGGGTAATTGGGCGATCCACACGCGTAGTGGTCTCCTCGAGGGCAGAGGCAGACTCAGTTTCCTCGATCTGCAAGTCGCTGCTATCGGCTGCATCCATGGCGCCGGTGGCAGGAGTTGCAGTTGTTCCTGAAGCGGGTGTTACAGATGTCGGTGTCAAGATCGCAGCAGGAGGTGTGCTGGCGGATTGCTTCTGTCTCAGCTCCTTGAGAGCCGCCGCGACTTTCTCAGCGAATGGGCGGTTGGGGATAGAGATGATCCCTTGTGTTTGATTGGGCTCTGGTTTCACATTGCCAGGCTCCATTGTAAAATTGTTTGGATTGAAGAGAGGAAGGAAAGCGAGTTTAGATCTTTTAAATCAGACCATCAGAGGACTTGAACTTTGCCTTGTAGAGAAATAACTTTGTGCGAAAGAAATGTGCAATTTCGATTCAAATGTTGATTGAAAAGTGGAGGATTGGCTGAAAACGGGTGAATGAGAAACAGGCTAAACTGTATTAAGCGCCTGAGAGAATGCTCTCCTCATTACAACTCAATGTATGCGCCGACTAATCTGATGAAAAGAGCGGGGGATTGCAGGTTGCATTCAATCAAATGAAATTGTGGTGTTGACGTGATGATGATTTTTAAAACTGTTTAACTTCCGCAGTTGACAGAGCAACTGTGGGGCAGGCAGCCTCTGATGACATTTGAGTAATTTTCTAACTAGTGTTCTGTTTCAATGAGTACAACATCAATGATACTGTGATTGTAGTAACTAGCAATCAAGGTTCTCCTCATTATTGATGTTGTGTCTTACTGTCTTGATATGATCAATGATAGAGGCTTCCCATCAATAAACAGTTATAAATTGAGATGACAGAAAATTACACTAATTGTGTTATTGTTTCCTCCTATAGAGTATATATTCAGACAAGTCTCTATCTACATAGTAAGAGTTGTCTCTCTCTCTCTCTGTGTACTGTATTGTATTGTATTGTACTGTACTGTAATGTACTGTACTGTACTGTACAAGTAATATATGCGTGATGAAAGCCAAGACTGACTAACCCATATACAGTAATATACTTGCGTGTCTATATAATGAGTATTTTGTGGAATTAAGCTTTTACACTGAAAAACATCATTTGTCACTATATATATATATATATATATATATACAAGCATCAAATGCTCGCTTACGCTCGCTTTTCTGCTTGCGCAGCCCTCTCTACCACTTCCACCCTCCCCCCCAACCACTCCCTACC